AATAAGTAGGTAAAAGATGCAATCAGCTTTCACTACTTGGCTTTTTTCCTTATATGCTTTTTAGCTGTGTTGCTCAGCACTGTATTTGTGGAGGTTTATGCACTCTGACAAATTCTGGTTGCTACCTTAAGAGCACTTATTCCCTACGGAAACTCATTTCACATCTCATCAGTTACAGCAATGAGATGGGGAAACTGATTTCTTGTGTCTCTGAGGTATATGCATGCTGGCTGGATAAGACAGCTGCAGCTGCAGCTGAACTGAGTTCTGGCCCCGAGTTCCCCCACACCTCCTCTGGGCTGAGTGATCTCCAGGTTTAGAGCCCCCCTCTCTTTAAAGAGCAGCTTCAGGCATTTCCAAAGAAATGTGGTGCAATGAAAAACATACTTTCATTTCAAGTCCCATTTAGAAAGTTAAGACAGCAGTAGACCTGAGCATTTGATTAAGGTGTGTTGCATCCATTTCCATGTATTGCTTTGTCTTTCCCCTGCAGGGAGCCCTACAACATAACTCAGTATCACTTATGGCAGACTGTGCCCAGGAGACATTTTCAGACGCTGCCAGGACTTGGCCTGTTTGGTTTGAACGGTCCGTGATACTATGTGGTAAGTCATGAGTCTTTGTCCAGAGTATTTGCTCTGGTCTCAAGCAAACCCAGAAGCTATGGAAAACCACACAGCATCACAAGACTCCTGCAAAACAGAACAAAACAAAACAAACACCCAAAAAGCCCACCTATAAAACTATCTGTTTACCCAAGTTATGAACCTGTTTATTTCTGGAAACAGAGTATTTCGGTAAAGTCATGGCAAACTTCCAAGCCATAAAAAAGACTTGAGATCTCATGATTAACGTTCCCCAGGGCAATAAAAAAAAGCTACCCCTTACTGTGGCATTCTCATGTTCTCATTTTCCCTACTGTTGCATCACTTCTTACAATTGGACATGATAGAAAAGATCTGTACATTCCATCCAGGGAACTGGAGCAGCACTCTTAGTTCGGCAAAATTAATGGCTACACCTGAGAGGCTAGGCTAGAAGGGAGTGCTCGGTGATGAGTACAGTGTGAGGCTTTGAATGGGCACTAAGGGGGAACTAAAAAACATTAAAAGCATAAGGAGAATATAACTTTGGAATCTCTCTGCACTAGAAGCTTCTCTGTCAACCAACACTGGACTTTAGGGTCCTCACAGCTTCCAGCATGCAGCTATTCCAATACTGGCTATGAAGCCAAAAAGGAGCCCATCCCTTCTGGAAAATTTCCCTGCCTGTCCTTCTTGCCCAGAAATACTGGGTAGCTCAGAAATTCCACTCAACTTTTAAGTGATCTCCAGACACATTTTTACTGTTGAGGACAAGCATATTCATGTGCAGGACAAACAACTCTTGTGGGTTCCGGAGCTCAGTAGATAATGCCCAAGAATAGCGGTTAGGGAAAATCAGCCTGGCAAGAGAAGTGATCCGGGATCTGCAGGACTCCGTTTCAGCTACTACAAACACCTGCTTTGCTCCACTACCTAATACTTCCTTCTGGTGTCTTCTGGCCTTTGTTCTCCTGCAGCAGTAGGCAGAGGTTTTTAACCAAATTAACAGTGCTAGGAATTTGATAAAGTGTGAAGCTCTGTCCCTTGTTATGCAACTAAAGGCTCTTTGGTTAAGGTTAATAGGTTTCAAATTGGCTTTTAAGAGAGTAAACTGTCTCCATGGTTCTAAAACTGGCATGCTGAGAGGCCCTTCCTTTACTGCCAGGTATTTAAGTAAAATTAGAGTTAAGTGTCAAAGGATAATAAGAATAAAACTGATTAACTATGCATGCCTAATAATAATAATAGAGTGGAAAACATTTTGGACTAAAATTAACGAACACATCTTTAGTATGTGATACATGAATTTATCTGCATGACTTCCACTCGCATTAATGGTAGACACTAAATTTCTGCCCAGTGAGCTGCTAATTCATGCCTAAGGGTTAAGTTTAAATTTAAACTTACAAAGGCCATTTAATGTTAAAGATGAAACACTGTACAGTTTTTGGAGAAAAAAGGAATGGGAAAATAAAGTATCAGTGATGTATTAGTGTGAATGTTGAATTTCCTGAATTTAGTGATTAGTTTGGTGCGGTCATAAGTCACGACATCCTGGTTCTGAGCAATACTTGGCTAGTGTGATATTCTGGTGTCCCAGCACCAGCAGCTTTCAAACACCTGATAACAAGTAAGTGTTTGATAACGTGTTTATAATCAGCATTCTTTTACTAGCTGCTGTCAACAGTTGGCTTAAATTCTGTTACAGGTGTAACTCAGGATTCCTTAGTTTATATTTTACTTCTAGTTCTTTCAGAACCCTTCTGAATTATGCACAGCTCATATTTAAGCATTGAAATTCCGTACAGATTTACTATGAAAAAAATACAATGCCTTTTTTCTACTTTAAGTTAGTTTCCTTTCAATCTCTCTCTTGTTTTTTTCTGAAGGAAAACATTATTTAGGAAGATCTGATTTTCCTTTAGCTAGTATTCATTATTTTCTATCTTTCACTGTGTTCTCTCTTATTCTGAGTTTTGTTTCTAAGTGATATCATGCAAAACTTTTGAGCCATTTTCTTTACAAATGTCTTTGATCTGTATCTTCCCCTGTATCTCTCTTGATGTATGTTTACTGCTTCTATATAACTTTTCTAGTCCTGCCTGTACCATTATAAGCACCAATGGTCAAAACCCAGTATAAGTACCCCAGTAATTTATCCAGGCCACAATATTTGCTATGTTATTATCCCTTCATCTCCATTCCTGCAGAAGACTGTCACTTATCTTTTTCCTATCACTGTACTAAACATCTGTTTTCCTGAAGCTCTTCACAGTGACTCACTACTCAACTTTTAGCATAACTTCCACCCCTCAGTTCTTCCTCCTCCCTTCACACACCCAGTGTTATACGAATAGATAGTTTAGACCATTTGTCTTAATGCTTGCTGTTTTTATTACCTGCATTTACAAGTAGTTACCTAGGCCTTCTGAAATTCCTCACAGCCTTCTCTGCTGTTACAGTGTTATCTCCTGTGCTAGCTGTCATTTTTTCCACCTGTCTGTTCACCTCTATTCAGATTGATCATACATGAAATAACACTTAGTCTATGTGCTGGGGGCACCTCATGTAGCCCTTTCCTATTTAGAAAATTGTTCATCTTTTCCACCTCTTTGCTTTTTATCTCTTAACCAGCTTATAATCTGTGTCTGATCTTGTCTGGTTGACTGTTCGCTCACTGAAGGAGGTTCCAGGCCTTTTAGCATTCTTGTTGTAGTGCTGTTTAAATATTTATTCATATATAAGGCATTCCGACTTCATTTTATCAGCTCATAGTCATCTAGGTGTCGTAAACATATTAATTTTTTTTTCCAATTAACTTTTCTACCATTGAGATAAGGCTTTCTGCTCTGTAATTACCAGGGTCATTCCTTGCATCTTGTTTAAAATTAGAGAAAATATTAACTATTCTCTAGTCCTAGCTGATGTGGAGTATGCTGTATGCCACAGTTAATTGTGAGAAAATATCACTTACCTTGGAAAAGAGTAACCACATTGCTTACAGTGCGGCAAAGGTCTGACCTTCAATGACCCTCTGCTATTGCAGCCCTGGGTCTCCCAAGATAATGCCTTAGTGTTATGAGTCCACATCACATCCAGGTTTAAAGTCCATAAAGTTTATTTTCACTTGGGGCTTAAGCCAAGTGGTAAATCAGGCTCTTAACAAGACATATGTGTTAGAAATTAAGTCAGCATGGCATGCAGCTTCCCTATGTTCAGGCTGTTAAAAGGCTGCTGCCAAGTAACTTTCCTAGATATCTTCACTTTAGTGAACATTTTTCATGTCTCGATCTGAAAATACCGATTTAGAGGCAAGAATATAAAATGCTCTTTCCTTGTGTTTTCCCTGTCTAAATGTGTTCTGAACAGATTAAAAATAAGCATAATGGACATCGTTCCTATGCAAAAATTTTGCCTTCCTAAAAAATTGCTGAATTGGAAAAAAGCTAAGGCTGAATGATTCAGCTGTTTCCTATAGGTAGTAAATCTGGAAGGGAAGAGAGTTTGCAAAGGACTTACTTGTAATTTCCAAATGTGGGCATAAGTTTAAAGCAAGAGGAAGTGCAGTCAAATGTCTCAAGGAACACACGTCTCTGTGTTACTAAAAAGAGTATTTCCAGAGGTATATATATTCACTTTGTATCAGCCCTTTGATGGGAAAATCAGTCCAATATGAGCCTCATTCTTGCAACAAAATTCGCTAGGATTCTGTGGTAGCATCCACTCAGAGGCGGCAAAAGTTCTCTCTAACTGCTTCTAAATTAACTTACCCATAAACACCTGCTAACACCCCTTTCTCACACATACATAACCTCCTTCCACTCTGTTCATTCACCACTTCCAAATGCATATCACTGGATATGCGTTGTGGCATTAAAGACATCAATATTAAACAATTAAAATTAGGCCTTCCTGCATGTTGACTCTGTGTGTGTCTCTGTCTCCATGCCTTATTGCAGTGGAAGGTACAAATGCTGCTCCATGAGGTACCAAGCTGGTATCTTGCATGGACAGCAATAGAGATGCTGTTATCTATGCCTAGCTTTCACTTTAAGGCTACCTGAACCTGTCTTAAAGCCTAAGTAGATCCTTCATCTCAGGAAGAGTGGTAAGCACAGAAGGCATTCACTCAAATACTGTGGTGTCTTTCAAATGATGGCATCTTCGCCTATGACCCTTCACTGCGTCAGTAATTTTTGCCCACTGTTTTTTGCACTGCAGATACAACATGATAATCAATATAAGCATGTTAATATAACATGATATAGCACAATGATAATATAATATGATATAGCATGGATCAATATTAACCTGATAGTCAATTAACAACCAGCACACATGGCTCGGAGAAAAGACTTCAGAATCCGTGGAAGCAATAAATACCCAAAAGAAGTAACAAAGAAAGAATGAAAATACCTCATGATATTTTTTCACTGTTTTCCCTGACATGCACATGCAAGATTTCCAGTTGGGAGTCCCACAGCCACAGTTTCCTCCACAGCGCTGGACAAGGAGGCAGCGGGGGAAGAAAACTACATTTGTCAGCTTCAGTTCCTCCCTTAAATTGACAGAGTAGTTTCTCGGAGTGCAGCTGTAACGTTTCACGTCATCATTCAACCTGTCCAGGTCAACTGCAACGCAAAAGAAGTTTCATTAGTGAGGTTTGAGTGGGTCATTCCTCTGGTTTATACTACTCCCTAGGTGGTAAATAACACAAAGTTATGGGACACTGTTTGAAAAATAAGTGAGGTGTAGCAGTGATTTCCGTAACAGATAAACATAAACCTACCAATTTTAAATCATTACAGGTGGCCATCCAGGCAGTCACCTGGCTCCCACTGATTCCCATAGCGAAGCTCACACCAACTATAAAGGTGAAGGGAAGGCTTGCAGTAAAATATTGGCCTGAAAGCTGAAGACTAGTAATTTTACTTGCTTTATCACTGATCTGTTGGATCCCTGGGCAAGAGATTCCACCTCTGCTACTCTCTTCCCTCCTCTGTTTATACTTGACTTACTTAGATGATGAGATCTATTTTGTTACTATGGGCATAACTTCTTTTGCCTAACTGCAGGCATAGAAAAGGCAAACACTTTAAACAAGACCCTTCCTGTGGTCAGTAGAGAAACTGGGGAGTGATTCATCCCTTCCTCACAAGAGCATTTAGGACAGGCTACATGACTTGCTTTCTCAAGTTGCCTGTCTGTATTGTTTATGGACAGAGTTTAGATAACTGACTTTTAGATGGAGAAACCAATCTAAGCAATATTAATTTCAGCTGGTAAATGTTACTATAATAGGCATAAAAATAAATACAATTAAAACTAATGAGGTTCATTGAATGCCAGTAGTTGGTTGATGTTTAAGTGCCTGGTATCTCTGTGAGATCTGTCATGTAAACAAGCAGTAAAGCCTGTCATAAAAATAACTTATAGACTATCAGCTGTGACTTTAAGTGCTGTTTCTAGCTTTTCCTTGTAAAGCTAAAACAAAACAAATAACCCCTTTTATAAATACATATTCCATACTTGTAACACATACAAAAGTAAAAAATTTAATGAGTTCTATTTCTATAGAAGTTTTTTGATTTCTTTTTCCTTCCTTTTCTACTTTCTTCTTTCCTTAGGATTCTATCCACCAACTAAGTGTTCAAAAGCTCAGTAATTCGTTCAGGACTGGAGGACATGTGAACTTGTGTTGAGTTCAACTCCAAAGAGCATTTGCTAACAGAAACATCAACAGGAAAATAGGGGTGGCTCAAATGAGAACTGAGATAACAGTGTAGTGTTTGTGATTTTCATGGGCATGTATCATTTCTGGTCCTGAGAGCATCTCTGCCTGTGCTTTAATAAAAATATGTGAAAATTTACAACAAAGACACTTCATACCTTCTGTGATTCAGTCCTTGTCAACATCACAAAGTAAGTAGTGGAAAAAGCTGTGATTTGTAAATATCATGTACCTTTACATTCTGACCCAGAGATATTCACAAGGTAGATAAGCAAGAGGCAAGGGTACATAAATGTCAGGAGTGCTATTATAGAAAATCATAGCAGATTCACTTTCCTGGCAAAGTGTTATCTCAGTCAATGGGAATTCAGCAGATAAATTGTGATTTTATAGCAATTGTGATACATGTCACCATGAAATCTCAGTGGTTCTCTCCAGAGAGTTAGCATCTCTCCAAAAGAGGTATAGATCATTCTCCTGATATAAGCACAAAATCAATGGGGCTGGTGGTATACTCATGAACTGGGAGAAAAATACACTGTGAATGTCCTTATCCAGGACTTACAAGTCCAGGGAATATTGATTTCTTTGTTTTAACAGATGGTATTTTTTTCTCCACTGTCATTCTCCAAATGACACATTCTCCACCCCTTCTCACAGCAAGATCTCAGGCTAATTCTCTTCACAGGGAAGTGTTTCCCACTCCTCTAAATGCTTGCCACCAGCTTTGCTAACTGGTAAAGCAAAGCACTATCTGACTACTATTCATTTCAGCCAATAGATGTGAAGGAAAAATCTCCCAAAGGAAAAAGAGGGTTGAAAATTTTCTGTCTTTATGATTAATGAGATTTCTTGAGGGGAAAGCCTGGATCATCAACACTACAGCAATCCAGGGGAATGGATACTAATATGAGCAGACTCCTATTGGGCAGTCCATGCTGATCATGGACTATGATGGCATTTGCTGATGGTGCTGATGGTACTGGTGGAGTTAGAATAAAATGCTCAAAGGCTTAATTTAGACTTAATTCAGCTGAGGTAACATAGGAAACAAGGCTTCCAGTAACAAACTGGTCAGTAAAGAGGGCCCATGAACTGACATCTGTGTCCAGAAAACGGTTGGGGGACTAAATAAAATTTACTCTATCACAGATGACATTTCCCCTCAGGCTCAACATTCCTCCTTCCTGCATTGAGCTAATACCTATTAGCACTGCTGTATTATCAAAACATAAATGAGTCCTTGTAATGAGACTAGCAGAGAGGGAAAGCACCGACATATAAAGGACCTACGTGGCGGGGCTTTCCTGCAGAGGGCATATTATATCCATCACTGTGTTACACTATTAGCTTCAATACTTAACTGTTCAATTTCAATGGCAAGTGTTGACCTAAAAAAGGGCTTTCACTGGAAGGAAGGCTTTGCTCACTGCCTTCAAACGCCTACTTTTGATGACTTTCGGAAGTCTTTGCAGGGTCTCAGGCTGTAGCTGACTCAGGACTGTGGGGAGCTGTTGATTTGCTTGAAGCATAGGAGGGAATAACCAGATAATTAGCATAATTTTCTTTCTCTATGCAGTATGAAGGAATAAGCAGTTTTCAATGAGGGCTCAAAACTTTCTCTGGGTACACTCTTCAGGTATTCTGAAATCGGGTAGTAGCAATACGCATTTTATCTAGTGTATTTTTTCTGTATTTGAAAAACCTACGGGAAAATTTCTAATGCAAAATTGCATGAATTGTCCTTGTTATCTGCTCAAGGCATTCTGATCATGGTTATTATCAGGTTTTGGGACCACCAGATCCCAGAGTTATCAGTTAAAATGTGAATTCTCTGCACTTTGCTGTATTTTAGGTATCAGAGTCCAGCTTAAAATGGACAAAAATAATAGCAAAAAGGTCTTATTGTAGTGATGTTGAAAACATGAAAATAAATAATTTCAAGCAGAGAAGAACAGCCCAAATAAACAGTTTAGGACATACACAAGTCATCCTCTATTAAAATCCATTTGGAGGTAAACACCTATACCTACATGCTTTTTTACTCTGCTCTACAGAACTCCAGTGCTTAGTGGGATAAGGTGAGCATGCATACTCTGTGAACAATGTATACTGTACTCTGGTAGCATCATACTGACACACGAGAACAGTTCCCATTGTCTAATTAGCTCTAGATCATGGTTTATTGCCCCCTAACAAAAGAATCCATTTTATTCTGAACAACTCTCTCTGCTGAAAGCTTCAATATGTATTTTTCCCTGTCTTGGGATTGTTTTACTGTCTGGAGCCAGTCCATTTCCTCATCCATATAACAATGAGATTTTAGAGTACAGTCAGTTTCATGCATCACTTCACTGCTGTGACTAAAATGTAAGTGAGCCTTGGTGTGATTGGTGTGAAATCCAGCTGCTTTACTTATCAAGGACTGAAACCGCTGGAGTCCTTAATCTAAAACTAGAACTAAAAGGTTCTTTAGACCAGATGTAAATAACTTCCAAGTATTATTACAGAATGTCTGCATCAGAGATTTAACTTAAAGGTAAGGCAGACATAAAGAGATGTGTCAGAGCACTAAGATCATAGAATCATAGAATCATAGAATCAACTGGATTGGAAGGGACCTCCGAGATCGTCAGGTCTAACCTTTGATCCACTACAACCGCGGTTACTAGACCACGGCACTAAGTGCCACATCCAGTCTCATCTTAAAAACCTCCAGGGACGGAGAATCCACCACTTCCCTGGGCAGCCCATTCCAATGCCTGATTACCGCCTCTGTAAAGAATTTCTTCCTAATATCCAAACTAAACCTCCCCTGGCACAGCTTAAGACCATGCTCTCTTGTCTTACAGATAGCTGCCTGGGAGAAGAGATCAAACCCCACCTGGCTACTACCTCCTTTCAGGGAGTTGTAGAGGGTGATGAGGTCTTCCCTGAGCCTCCTCTCCTCCAGGCTAAACAATCCCAGCTCCCTCAGCCTCTCCTCATAGGACTTGTGCTCGAGTCCCTTCACCAGCCTTGTTGCTCTTCTCTGGACCTGCTCCAGCACCTCAATATCCTTCCTGAACTGAGGGGCCCAGAACTGGACACAGTACTCCAGGTGGGGCCTCACCAGCGCTGAGTACAGGGGAAGAATCACTTCCCTGAACCTGTTGGCCTGATCAGGAATATCACTATTCCTGATATAGGCCAGGATGCCATTGGCCTTCTTGACCACCTGGGCACACTGCTGGCTCATGTTCAGCTTCCTGTCAATCCAAACTCCCACATCCCTATCTGCCTGGCTGCTCTCCAGCCACTTTGTGCCCAGCCCATAGTGCTGCAGGGGTTGTTCTGGCCAAAGGGCAGAACCCAGCACTTGGCCTTGTTGAACCTCATCCCACTGGAATCAGCTCAACTCTCCAGCCTGTCCAGGTCCCTCTGCAGAGCCCTCCTGCCTTCCAGCTGATTGACATTCCCCCTGCAACTTAGTGTCACCTGAAAATTTGCTCAATCCCATCATCCAGATCATCAATAAAGATATTAAACAGAACTGGGCCCAACAATGATCCCTGGAGGACACCACTAGTGACTGGCCTCCAACTGGATGCAGCACCGTTCATCATCACTCTCTGGGCCCGGCCCTTCAGCCAGTTCCTAACCCAGTACAGAGGACCCCTGTCCAAGCCGTGGGCTGCCAGCTTTTTCAGGAGTATGCTGTGGGAGACTGTGTCAAAGGCTTTGCTGAAGTCCAGGGAGACACATCCACAGCCTTCCCCTCATCCACCAGGCGGGTCACCTGACCATAAAAGGAGATCAGGTTGGTCAGGTAGGACCTGCCCCTCCTAAACCCGTGCTGGCTGGGTCTGAGCCCTTGTCCATCCTGTGGGTGCTGTGTGATTGCACTTAGGATGATCTGCT